GTCCTTCATGTCGACGCCAGTGGTACCGGCGTTGGTGGTGTCCTGATGCAACAACGAGGCGAGGAGGTTCTACCTGTCAGCTACTACAGCTACAAATTGAAACCACACCAGAGGAACTACAGCACTATTGAAAAGGAGCTACTATCCATCGTCCTGAACCTCCAACACTTCGCTCCGTACCTACAAGGCGCCAGGTCTACCACCATCTTCTCAGACCACAACCCTCTCCGCTTCCTACATCAAGCCCAATTCACTAACCAGCGTCTTCTACGATGGGCTTTGTATTTACAAGATTTCAACCTGGAGATCCGCTATATCAAGGGTTCTGACAAAATCATAGCCGATGCCCTCTCCAGAGTTTATGAAGTAGAAGCGACTCCATCTATTACTCCACCACAGAACGACGTACTTCTTCCAGAACCGCAGGCTTCGGGGGAGAGTTGTGACGATAATCTCCTTCAAGAGAGATTATCAGGCTTATCAGGATTATCAGATTATCAGAAAGAGCAGGCTCAAGCCTGCTCTTCCCTCCAAAATACGTCGCTATACATCTATATAAAACTAGTATGGAAGAAATATTCAACAACTACACCAGCAAGGTTTGCCAGAGCGCAAAACGTATGCAGCCAGGAACACCTGCTCCACCTCGAACCGCCAAACTACCTGTCTGTCGCTTGCTCATCGCTGATTGGCTGAGTGTCCAGTTGCACCTGCCCTCCACCCCCCCACACTACCTGATGTCTGGGGCCACACGACCTACCACTCTCAGAATATCCAGTGCTTTCATCAGGTTAACACGTCTCCTTGGTAGACTAAGCTGTGGCTTACGTGTACTAAGAGAGGTGATAGCTTAAAGCCAATATTCCTGCACCTCTTATTTGATTGTATATTGTTCACTTGTTATTACTCACTTGTCTTAACGTAACTTTTCATTTTGTCATTTGATTATTCTTATTATTTTGATTGATTGATTTTATTATACGAATTTGTATGTCCATTTTATTCATGTTTTGCTTTTTCTAACGTAATTAAAATCGCATTGTTAAATTTACTTGTGTTTTGTGTGTCTTCTCATTACCTTACCACAGACGAAGTTCCAGATTTTTTATTTTTTTTGTTTCTATGTGACGAGGCCATACCCCTAGCTTTTGAACAGCCGAACACCAACGCGTTACCGTCACAATATATATATATATATATATATATATATATATATATATATATATATATATATATATATATATATATATATATATATATATATATATATATAATATATATATATATATATATATATATATATATATATATATATATATATATATATATAATGCATTCCCTCTAATGCGTTATGCGTGGTTTCCTCCGAGGCTATGTGTCCCCCTTCTTCCAGCTAGAGGTGGTACTCCCTTCCTATGTAAAAAAATATATATATATATATATATATATATATATATATATATATATATATATATATATATATATATATATATATATATATATATATATATATATATATATATATATATATATATATATATATATATTATATATATATAATATATATATATATATATATATATATATATATATATGCAACAATGATCACAAAAACACTGATCCAAGTATGCAGAATAACCACATATGAAAAATAGAAAATGCTTAACGCGTTTTTCGGCTAATTCGCCTTCATCAGAGCAAAGTAGAAATCCATTTCTACTTTGCTCTGATGAAGGCGAATTAGCCGAAAACGCGTTAAGCATTTTCTATTTTTCATATGTGGTTATTCTGCATATATATATATATATATATATATATATATATATATATATATATTATATATATATAATATAATATAACAATATTATATAATATTAATATAATATAACATAATAGTATAATAATATTATATAATATAATATAATAATAATATAATATATATATTATATATATATATATATATATATATATATATATATATATATATATATATATATATATATATATATATATATATATATATATATATATATATATATATATATATATATATATATATATATATATATATATATATATATATATATATGTCGAACCTAGTAGCCAGAACACACTTCTCAGCCTACTATGCAAGGCCTGATTTGCCTAATAAGCCAAGTTTTCCTGAATTAATATATTTTCTCAATTTTTTTTCTTATGAAATGATAAAGCTACCCATTTCATTATGTATGAGGTCAATTTTATTTTATTGGAGTTAAAATTAACGTAGATATATGACCGAACCTAACCAACCCTACCTAACCTAACCTAACCTAACCTATCTTTATAGATTAGATTAGGTTAGGTAGCCGAAAAAGTTAGGTTAGGTTAGGTAGGTTAGGTAGTCGAAAAATAAATAATTCATGAAAACTTGGCTTATTAGGGAAATCGGGCCTTGCATAGTAGGCTGAGAAGTGCGTTCTGGCTACTAGGTACGACATATATATATATATATATATATATATATATATATATATATATATATGTCGTACCTAGTAGCCAGAACGCACTTCTCAGCCTACTATGCATGGCCCGATTTGCCTAATAAGCAAAGTTTTCATGAATTAATTGTTTTTCGACTACCTAACCTACCTAACCTAACCTAACCTAACTTTTTCGGCTACATAACCCAACCTAACCAATAAAGATAGGTTAGGTTAGGTTAGGTAGGGTTGGTTAGGTTCGGTCATATATCTACGTTAATTTTAACTCCAATGAAAAAAAATTGACCTCATTCATAATGAAATGGGTAGCTTTATCATTTCATAAGAAAAAAATTACAGAAAATATATTAATTCAGGAAAACTTGGCTTATTAGGCAAATCGGGCATTGCATAGTAGGCTGAGAAGTGCGTTCTGGCTACTAGGTACGACATATATATATATATATATATATATATATATATATATATATATATATATATATATATATATATATATATATATATATATATATATATATATATATATATATATATATATATATATATATAATATATATTACCAGCGAAGAGTTAAATGGTCCTGGTTGTTTCAGGCTGTTGTCTTTGAAAATGATCTGAATAATGTAATATACGGCCACTGAAAAAATAGCGGTGAGCGGTCCTAACTTTCGATGCAGCCTAATTGCGATCACTTTAATAATTGTTTTGATGAAATATTACATAATTTGTTTCGACAGTTGTTTTGTTAGGTTATGGCTAAAAATAATATATATAGAACAACCAACTCTCTCTCTGTCTCTGTCTCTCTCTCTCTCTCTCTCTCTCTCTCTCTCTCTCTCTCTCTCTGTCTCTCTCTCTGTTTCTGTCTCTCTCTCTGTCTCTCTGTTTCTGTCTATCTGTCTGTCTGTCTCTCTCTCTCTCTCTCTCTCTCTCTCTCTCTCTCTCTCTCTCTCTCTCTCTCTCTCTCTCTCTCGTGTGTCTGGCACAGGCCATGTAGGCTTATTGTGTGATTAAGATAATTAAAATAAACGAGAACACTACTTTAATTGCATTTTAATCCCCGCAAATCTGATTCAGTAACATTTATCACTCAAGGATAATAATATAATGAACAGAAATTGACAGTGTTGTTTCTGGAGGTTAATGCTAAGTATTTTAAAGGGATGTCCTTTAATATGGGCTGAAAACTATCTTAAATGTGTTCGAAAAGTAACTTAAGACTTCGTGTATATGTTATCAGTTTAGTTGATATACGGACAACCGGGGTTAAGATATCCGGACAATCGGGTTTAAGATATCCGGACAACCGGAACTAAGATATCCGGAACACCGGGGTTAAGATATCCGGGACAACCAGTGTTAAGATATCCGGGCAACCGGTGTTAAGATATCCGGACAACCAGGGTTAAGATATACTGTACTGGGTATAGTTATACTGTACTCTATATTTTTGTCCAGAAAAAATATATATATATAATTTCGTAATCAAATACTTAACCAAATAAAATCTTATCGTAATAAAATTTACAGCATGTGTATAAACAACTAACACTTCAATGTCGAATGTTTTTTTGCAGGTATAGAAATACATACACCGGAAAAGTAAAGGAGTTTCTTGCATTAGCGTATGCTCGAACACTGTCCAACAAGACTCTGAAAGGCGCATTTGTAAGAGAATTTATTAAAAATGCACCAAATGCAATGCGGATTTGTACACGGTACAAAAAGTTCAAGGAGGGAAGACTGTCTCTGCGGGGCAAAAGGTTCTGTACGACCACCAGTACCGGAAGAGGTGGTCGAGCGGGTTCTGGACCACCACCAGTACCGGAAGAGGTGGTCGAGCGGGTTCTGGACCACCACCAGTACCGGAAGAGGTGGTCGAGCGGGTTCTGGACCATCACCAGTACCAGAAGAGGTGGTCGAGCGGGTTCTGGACCACCACCAGTACCGGAAGAGGTGGTCGAGCGGGTTCTGGACCACCACCAGTACTGGAAGAGATGGTCGAGCGGGTTCGGGTAACATTTTTGCGAAGCCCCAGGAAGTTCATAAGAAGAGCAAGTCTGGAAACCCAGAATCCTCCAAAGACAGTTTGGCGTGTTGCAAGGAAACACTTGCTAACGACACCCTTCAAGTTGAAGCTCGTTCACGCCTTAATGACAGATGACAAGAAAAGATACAAGCAATTCTGTGTCGCGATATGCATGATTAAATTGAAGAAGACGCGTGTGAATATCATCTTGTTTTCAATAATGCGGCCACATTACTGAAAGATCTTCAATACGCGCCCAATATGCGGGGCGCGTATTGAAGATCTGTGAAATCGTTCATGACATGCACATACCTTTGAATTTTATCATTCGAGTTTCGATGAATAACTCTTATTTTGAACAACGTTAAGACTGTTTAGTTTTATTTGCCTACACTATGTAGTTACTCAGATATTTGCATTGCAATGATAGATGATAGAGAATGTTGGGAAACACCTTATTTAACATATCAATGGAGAGTATTGGGATAATGGCAACTGCCGAGTAAGATGTTGATAATGAATAAGAAATGTTGAAGGGTTATTCATGGAGAATATCATCACACCAGCTATAGTTGCCGTCATGCTCTAAGCTCCAACCTTCATTTACAAGAACGATTCGCATCTACTTAGCAAAAGCGTATTAATGATTCATGGCTTTGAACTGAATGAAGTAACCTCTTTATAACAACGTGTTATAAATTAGGATATTTACTTTATTATCGTAATTGTTATTTATTTATTGATTGATTTTTTTTGCCGACGGAGGTGGCTAGTTTATTGTACACTTTATATTCATCCTGTGAGAGTTAATGCAAAAAAGGATTACAGAGGGCACGAAAGATCTTTATCAGACCTCAACAGGTATTATTGTTAATGACCTCAACATTAACAATTATATCTATCATGCACATCTTGTAATTATAATATCAGTTATTTACAGATTATTTTGAATTTAATAGCTGTGAATTTACAATTAATCATTATACATTAACAACTTAGGTTTCAGATCAGATCAAATAATAGCTTTTAATGGTTGGTCTTTTCGCGAGAACATAAGTGTTTTAGCTATGGAGGTATTACAATGGCTCAGAAAAGTAGCTGTTTCTTATTATTAGTCTTCACACTACACTGTTCCTAAATCTCATGTCATTTATCTACTGGAAGCGAAACATGGAAACATTGCAAGGCTTACAGATATTTTTTCGTTGGGTATAAGATGACCTGCAATTTCATGCAGCGTGAGTTTAGAGTTATACCTTAATGGCAACATTTTGTCACAGTCTAAGATGTGACAAAGTGTGTCCCTGTCTTTGTCCACACACTTTATTAATTATTGTTGCACTATATACACCGAACTGCCAGAGACACTTGCAGCCAAGTGGTTTTGGAGGTGTGACAACGACTGTTCGTCTGCTGACTTTGTTACTTGTTCCACAAACATGTTTTACTTGACACATTACATTGTGATACACAATGGATCTGCTAGTTCCTGTACGCACTGTTCTGCTTCTTCAAATCTTTATACGAGTTCTCGTCTAATGGTGTTTTTAAGTTATTTGAAGACTCAAAATTACGTTGAACACTGTCTTGATTTACTGCAATCTTAGCAAAAGCATCAACTTCACAGTGGTGTACATCACAGTATACCACTGTGAAGTGGTATACTTCACAGTATGCCACTCTGAAGTGGTATACTTCTTGGTTTATACATTCCTGTCCTGTTAAGTAATACTGTGCATACATTGCATAATTTTTCACGTTTTGTTTTAAACATGTACAGTTCACACCAAATTACAGTGTACATATGCGTGTTTGACAGCAGCATGTAATAGTGTGTGTTGTATGAATGCTTGGATGTGTTCTGGTCGACATGAGTGCGTTTAATTAAGGGGTTTAAATTATATAATTACACGGAGGTCTTCACAGTCAATATTTTTTAGAATTAATGATAATCTCCAGTTTACACCGGACACAACACCAGAAAGGTCAGTGTACTCACCGTTACTTAACGAAAGGATGTCTGTGATGCTGTGTGCCGGATGCTGCTATTGATCCGTGTATGGATCACAGGTCGTATTGTGAGTCTCCTGAACACCAGAGTATTCTCAGGGTGTCAGTGCATCTCGGGGGAACCACAACCCGCTGTCACTCTGTGGCAACTGTTTCTAGATGTTATCAAAACCTCTTTAGGTTACCAGAGGCTCTGTAGATTACCAGTGGCTCTGATAGGTACCAGAGGCTCTGTAGGATTTCAGCTGCACTCGAGGTCATCAGAGCACTATTGGACGCGAAGTTCATCTGCATAGCGTTAATCGCATCTTGTAAGAGTTATTGATTTTCTTATTGATTTTCTCATGGCAATATTTATGATAAATGAAAGTTCCTCTGCACCTCTGTGTTGTGGGATTGAGTTATATCTCTGCACCTTTATTCACAGAAACGTCAATATCGTATTATCTCTATCACCGCAAATTTTTCCATTTCATTTTCTGCGTATTAGAAACTGTTTACACCACAGTCATCAGTGCCACCGTTCATCAGTGCCACCAGTCATCAGTGCCACCAGTCATCAGTGCCACCAGTCATCAGGGCCACCAGTCATCTGTGCCACCGTTCATCAGTGCCACCAGTCATCAGTGCCACCAGTCATCAGTGCCACCAGTCATCAGTGCCACCAGTCATCAGTGCCACCGTTCATCAGTGCCACCGTTCATCAGTGCCACCATTCATCAGTGCCACCGTTCATCAGTGCCACCAGTCATCAGTGCCACCAGTCATCAGCGCCACCAGTCATCAGGGCCACCAGTCATCTGTGCCACCGTTCATCATTGCCACCAGTCATCAGTGCCACCGTTCATCAGTGCCACCGTTCATCAGTGCCACCAGTCATCAGTGCCACCAGTCATCAGTGCCACCAGTCATCAGTGCCACCAGTCATCAGTGTCACCGTTAATCAGTGCCACCGTTCATCAGTGCCTCCAGTCATCA